ATCGCAGTGAACAATTTTTCGTAATGTAGAAAAATGCCACAAGTTTATTCATGAGGTATGTATCGATGGTGTTAAATTGATTTCATTTTCACCAGAAATATCGTAGAGACAACGATTTTTTTTCGTTGACTGAAATACAGTATCCGATATAAATCGAATGCCAAACCTGTCAATCTAAATTGAAAGATTTAGGGCCTAATATATAGATCGTAAATCTTTGTTGAAGTTATCCCAAAAATGCATATAGTCGGACTGCTATCCATTGTGTGGTCAGAAAATGGTATGACGTTTATGTTATTTATGGGCAAAACCACTCAACGGCGTATCAGATTTTTCATCTCACTCACTCTCTCTTCCGTTTCGTTCACTTCAGTTTACGTATTATTTCATAATTTGCATATAGAAACCGAATTGAAGCATAAACAGTTTTGTGTAATACCCTTTTTCCGTTTTAATGAGGATAAACGAGCATTCGAATGTGGTTCATTAATTGATTCATATTTTCATTTGAATTGTATTGTCTAACTAATATGAGGTTGTTAGTACTCTTTGGTCGAGCATCCGTTTGAATGGGAATTTGATCGGTAATCAATCGAATCAATGGATTCACTAAGCGAACAGTGTATATGTATGAGGCGGGCTCAATTCATGGTTTATACATGAACATTCAGCGATACGCAACACAGAAAAATATTAATTATAATAATGACGATGGTATCAAAGGAATGCACTGCGAATTTGAAAAGTGTAAATTTAATGCGAAGTTGTGTTGGTTCCTGAGAATTCTAGATGGCACTACTGCCAGCAATTACTACGTGTTTCATTCGTTTGTTTTTGGTAAGTTTTTCCATTCAAAGAGAATAATAGAGTGAAAAAAAACCCGAATAAAAGTTCAAAAACTTTTCTCTCTAATTGTTGGGGCTTGTGAATATAAAATGTTCATAAACGATGAAGAGGTGGTTTAAAGTACATAACTCAAATATTGAAAATCAACAAAAACCCATATATGCATGCAAAAATCTCACGTTGCAATTAGTTTATCGTCAAAATGTTCACCGGTTAAGCTGAACGGGTGTTTATGTCATGCGAAAAAGCATTATGCTCGACACTGCGTGAAAACTCTCAACGGAAAACTTTAAACCATCCTCTTCAAAATGCTTTCAACATCGATCAAATTGTACCTATAAACTATGCACGACAAAATGAAAAATTAAATATTCGTCTAAATTTTTCGCACAATATAAGCGCTATATGTTGTTGTTTTTTTATTCGCTCTTCGTGTTTCTCTCTCCATCTCTTGTGCCACTTTATTTTTGACGATGTATATACAACATGGAGTGGTAACCCGTTCGCTGTAACTGATTTACTATTTAGAGCAATAATTGTTATTAGTATTGCGTCATTATACAAATGTAATTATACGTGATTATTATCAGCGATAACAATTTCATGGTTGATAGTTCAGTGAGTTGCGTGTGCTAATGTGTGTGTGTGTGTGTGTTTATGAATATAAATTTTTGACGGGGTGGCTTTGGATGAACGGATACCGCCTTCGCCGACGACAACAACAACGACGGCCACGACGACGAACATCTCTAATGGCACAATTAATATGAGAATCATGCAAGTGTGTAATGTACGCACGATGTGTAATAATGTGAACAGTGCATACTGTAAAATGTAAATATCATATAAAATACATAAGTTTAACACGTGAAATTATCAGTCTGTAAATTGTTTTATTATTTTAAAAAGAAATGAGCAAAAATCGGTTGGCCCATGTTGTCTGCGATGCTGTTTGTTATTTTATTTGTTGCGCACTTGAGATAGGTGAATGCATCATACGCTCCCATAAATTTACCATTTAAACGGACAGAAAAATTATGTCGCATTCACATAAATGAAAATAAAAAAAGCAAAATACACGTATTAAGCTTGGGTACAGCTTCCGTGCGGACGTGTACGCGCATGATGATCGTTTCACGTTTACCGTATGGTGCACAGCCATAAATATTCATTTTATCAGTTTCTGGTTACGACAACATTCACACGACGTGAATCGAGCAACATTTGTTTCACTTTTTCCATGAAGAAAATGCCATAATTTCTCTTATTAAAAAATCTTTAACGACATTTGTTTAGCGGTTAGGTGTGTTTGTATTTTGTTGGAAAATTTTGTCGGAGGCGTCACAACGAGAGGAAAAAAGGGACAAAGAGACAAAGAGAGAGAGGAAAGGGCAGGATGTCATATGCGTAGATTGTTCAAAATTGACATATTTAATTTTTCATGATTAACGATAATTACGGACAATATACGTATTGTATGTCGAATGCCTCCGTGAACGATACTTAATCCCTTTTTATTTTCCAAAAGAAAATCTTAGCTCCTTTCACCGCCTGTGATTAATGTATGTGTATTATATTAGAAGGTTCAATTTTTGGAATACGAAACAGTGAACGGTAATTAGATTCTCATCTGTTTAGCGTGCATTGCCAAAAAAATGGCGTGTGTGTATGGCATTGAATGTTAGCAAGAGAGATTGCAAAAGAGAAAATATATAAGACAAATTCAAGCTCATTAAGTTATGAGCAATTTGGTTTTTTTTCGTAAATGCCATCTTCCTCTTGCTCCTTTTTTCTATGCTTATGCTGTATATTGAAAATTGTCCATACAAACTAACCAAGTAAGAGCTATATGAAACGATTGCGGCCAAGCGGACCATGTTTGAAACGCGAAGTACCGCGTAAAAATAAAATTATCATTAATAAATTAAAATAGAGCGCCCATTTATGAGTGGCTATGAAAATTCGCAGAGAAAAAATGCCAACTTCGCATTAAAGTATTGAGAGATAGAATGAGGGGGACAATAAATATATGGAAAGCGAAAAAAAAAAATTTAATGGCAATGAAAATGATACTTTTGTTTTATTTCGTCTGCATACGAAGCGTAATGTTGTACGGTCACATACACAGAGAGAAGCCGAAATTACGAGCTCGCGAGAACAGAATGTAGCGGATAAAACTAGAAGAGACTGAATTTAAGGCGAGGCCCTCATTGCAAGACGAATGTGAAATAAAACGATGCCAACAAAATAAACGGCTAAAAAGTGAAAACTGGCAAAATGAAAATTTATTGCATGACCGTATGTGAATTTGTAGCGTACAGGCCAGCAAATGAATGAAATCGCTTGCTTTCGTTCTCACACGTAGACGCAAAAGCATGTTTGGTAATCATGCTTTGTGTTTATGTGTGCATCATGCTAGTATCAACTTCCATACATATTCTTACACAATACTTACGGATTTGTGCAATTGTTCTGAGGCTTACTAATTTTTTCATGCCACTCGCTCTCTCTCACACACACACACACTGACTGCGTGTTTTGGCCATCTCAACAATGGAAATATTCACGGGAGTTGAATTGAAATTCACGAAAAGGAGAAAAACCAAGCGGTCGATGCGCCACGAATATTAAAGAAAATGCTGCCAGTCGGAAAAATTGAACAACACCAAAAAGAAAAAAATGAAACACAGAAGAGAGAAAAAAGAGAGTAAGAGAGCATCACACAGACACATATGAACCAAACGAGAAAGCGGACTCAATACAGTACAAAAGGATAGTGTAAAAAAAAGCGCAACATAGAAAATAAATAAATAAAAAAACGTGAATAACTACAAAACACGATAGAGTCAGAGAATAGAAAGAGAACATAACGGCAACACCAGCATGAGTTTGTTGTATTCGCCAGCAAGCAATCTATCGAGCAGACACATGTATTTTTGTCGTCTGCATACGCGCTCGTATTTGATACTTTGTATTTAACACTATCACCTTGGTCGATGTTGCCGTCGCAGATACCACCATCGACACTGCCACACATCGGGTTTGCATTCAAGCGAAATATACAACAGCATGTATCGCTATTCACGTCACTTACATTTTTTGAGTCGCTTGTATAACATTCAGAGCGGACTAGATGCGGGCGAGAGAAAAAAAATGTGTGCGCGAGACCTCTCCCATTGTGTACGATATATGAGATTGTAATTTCAATATTTTTTCTCCCATTTATTTGAATGTCTAAAATAAGCGCTCGACACACACGCCAAGCCAAGTGAAATATACAAACACACTAACCGAACGAAAGGACAGACCGGAAAAAAAAAACACACACACACACATTGCTAGCAACAACATAAATCTATTTTAACCGAATATACACAATTATATCCATTTTAACCATAAAATGTTGAGATTTTATGAGAGCTTTTCGTTTTGTTTCCCTCGTCTTTTGTCTCTTTTTCGTCCATGGTTTGGCTCATTCTCTCTTTCTATCTCATTTTTTCTCTTCTGTTGTGTGGCGAAAATATATTCTTAATATTTTCGTGATTTCGTCAGAGAGTGCCATTTTTTGTGTTATAATTTTTTCTCTCGCTATTTGAGTCTTTATTGTTGTTTAGTACTACTGCACATACATTGACGACGATTATATTCTAGATTTTGGTTTTGTGCTTCACGCAACGACTTTATTTCGAAATAATAAAAACACAAAATATTAACGACAATAGCAAAATCAGAGAGAAAGAGCACACACAAAAGATGAATAAAATAAATACAAATTGGAGAGCTTTTCAAGCAACAGCACACACACACACACACACAATAGCTGCGATACGAGAAAAAAGAAGAGCACAGCCACCACCAACAGGAACAAAAACAAATCAAATGTGCTCAATGTAACGTTGAATTGAACATTTGCTGAACTCCTTAAACCTACAAGCCCTTCGCTCTTTCTGTATGCTTGCGAACAAGCACCAGAGCTCAATTTCTGCATTCGCCATACAAATTCGTTTATGCCCGAAAGAACAATAGCAACACTGACTGCCACGAAAAATGCCTTACACTTAAGCCTACGTTTGGTATTATTTTCTAGTTACAATAAGTTTCAGTATGTGGTTTCTTTTATTTTTTTTTCTTTCTTCAATCGAACTTTTTTTTTCCACTTTTTGCTCTGTTCATATTATTGTTAAAGAGATTTTCTTATATCTATGTCATACGATTACTGTTTTTGTTCGAACTATTTCTTCATTTTTCTTTTTTTGTTAAATTTTAGTCAAGTTTATCCTATACAGTATACACACACAATATTATCATCATCTTTATTATTAATTCTTATACTTATAATAATAATATTCAGCAAAACTAATTGTAGCTTTAGGATTTAATTTTTGTTAAAAGAGTCTGTATTTTATTTGGGAATTGGTTTTCTGTTCAGGTCTTTCACGTATTTACAAATTTGTGTGTGATTTCTTTTCTTTCTTTATGTGTATTGGAGCGAAAATTCATTGATGCGCTTTGGATTATAATTCGGTCATCCCATAAGAAATGTCATTATTACTTCTTCATTTTGTTTTCGCTCCTTCTGCACTATTCAACATTATTTTCGATCATTTAATCAACTGCAATTCAATTTGGTGATCAATTTCGTATGTTGTTTTTTTTTTGTTTTTTTTTTTTTTTTTTTTTTTTTGTAATTTTCTCGGTATTCAAATATTTATCTGTTGGTATATGTGTGGTTTCTATTGTTTGGATTTATTTTGTATGTGTTTTACCTTTTGCAATCTCCGGTATCGACGTCGATGATATTGTGTTGGCTTGGTTGCTGTTGTTGTTTTCTTCATCGAATGGTGATTGTGGCGGTGGAATAGTATATGGTTGTGCACAGTTTGGTCGTTTTGAAATCATCATGTGGCTTGATTTGACTGCAATCCATTCGTTGCGCGATGCATCAAACCACGTTAGGCCCAAATTGTATCGACCATTTAAATTAGCATGTTGACAATGCGAAAACCACCAGCCACCTTCGTAATTACCTAGGACAAATTAAAAATCGGTATAAAATTTCGAAAAATCGTGATACAAAAAGGAAGAGTACAAAATTCATCATGAAAATTACCTGCACAATGCGTGTTCGAAATGTCTCGGTCAACATCGATTGCCGAAAATTGCATGTCATTTTGGTATTGGAATGCATCCGATGCGTTGCCACTGTAACCTGATATACTCAAACGGTATCCATCTTCACGTGTGGCCACATAAAATGTACTGTAAACTGCTTCCCAGGTATTATCATAAATATCTTGCATAATTATTTTTAACGTGGTACAATTGTCGGCGGTCAAATGATTCAATATCGTATTACCAATCCAATACTCGCCAGATGGTGTACCGAAACCTAAAATTGAACAAATGAAGAACAACAAATGTAATGTATACGCTGGAATGCTATCCGATTTAACTCCTAGACTGACAACCACGAGAAAAAAAAAATCACAACAAAAATGAATGAAAAAGTTTGAATTCGCTTCTTACCTTGGCTGTATTCATCCCATGAGCGATTGAAATCGACACTGCCGTCGTGTCGCCGTTGAATTGTTGTCCATTGATTTTCACAATTCGCCAAAATTGGATGTTGTTGGCCACCAGGTGCAATCATGAATAAACCCGTTGAATTTTGTTCGATTTGCGAACAATCTGACGGCAATTTATTAATAATTGATTCGTATTGCTGTTCAACCGTTTCCAATTGTTTTACCAATTTTGATGCCATCTGAATTTCACTAATTACATTTTGCTGTGGCGTTTTTGAGTCCAATTCAATCTGTGTAGGTGTGTGTTTGTTGTTTATAATTTTGACAAACGAGCATGTAAAACAAAGATGACCTCAATTAGTCATATGATGGAATAGGAAATTTGTTCTTTTGTTGTTTAATTGAATGCGTTGCATTTGTTTTAATTGAAATAAATATGTATATATGGAAAATTCCAATCAATAAGCAAATAACAGAGTACAAAAAGTGGGCTATTTGTTATGAAACAAAAAAAAAATCTCTCGTTACCTTTTCAATACGTTTATGGAACATATGTCGATGTGCATTGGCACCGCTGCGTAATTTTGTAAAATTGTACTTCAAATCGTTGACAGTTTGTTCCAGTTGTTTGATTACATCGCGATCATCTTGCAATGTGCTGACGCTGACAGCCAATGCCTGAATACTTTTCGCTGCATTGTGACCCTCTTCGCGCAATAAACCATATTCGGAGGCAACTTGGGCAAAATCAAATTCAACTTTCGATATTTCACGTTTGATATCGGGAACTGTCTTGTCAAATTTATTTTGAATGCCTTCAATATCCTCAAGCAATTCCAACATTGAACCATGCAAACGATCCAAACTGGCCACTTGACGGCTCATATTGAAATTAGCATTAGCCAAACGTTTTTGTTCCGTTTCCAAATTGTGTAAACGTTCGCCGATATGATGATGATGCAATTCGTTCAATTGACGTTTCATCGCTTTTTGTACCACATCTAAATCATGCAAATGCTGACGAATAAAACGACGATGGCGCAAACGATGATCGGCTTCAGGCTTTACATAATCAATAGTTCCAGCTGCCTTTGGATTCTAAAGAAATGATGAAGAGAAAAACAAAATATGAATAAATTAAAACAAATATAAAAACAATTGGATTTATTAAAAGGTGAAAATACTCATTAAAATCAAAACGGAGAATGTTGAATGAAACATTAAAAAAACCGTCCAGAAACAATGTACATTTATCCCTTTCTACTCCCTTTCACCCTATCAATACCAACCATGATAAATTAGTCATAATAATCATAATAAAATCGGTTGTACATATTGTCGTTGCATTTTTAGTCGCGCTCGAATATTTTGTTTGATTTGATTTCGATGTGATTTCATTTGTACAATATGTGTTTCGGTTTATGTTTTTGTTTTCAAACGTTTTCAAACGGGTCGGAGGGAAATTTGTTTTGCAATATCACTTCACATTTACACAATCGGAAAAAACAATCGAACAATTTACTGACACGCAAACTAATAAATTATTTAAGAGACTCTTCATCCCCATTTCTTTCTCCCCAATCCACCCCCCCCTCCCCCGCTCTCTCTCTGTCTCTCTGCAGAGTTTTGTTATTATTGGCCTATTACAACTACCTATATATGAATTAATGAGCGATATGTGTGCCGTAGCTTTTGCCCGCCTCGCTTTCAACGGCACCGACAGAGGCGACGACAGTAACAGCGCTTGATACGTTGGAACAACATATATAAAATATACGTATGGCATGACAATTGTATGGTATTTTAAACGAAAATATCAAGTCAATTCAATATCGTTTTGCGAGCCATAATAAATAAAGCATATGAGTATTTGTATGTTGGCAAAAAGCTTAAAATGTGATATGTAAACTATGTGGTTTGATATTTTATATGAAGTCAGTCATTGTCGTCGAAGTCTCGAATAAATGTAAAAGCTCATTTTTAAGTCGTAAAACAAATATTCAAATGCATCATCATTGTGTGTATGGTTGTTGTTATACACAGTTATTAGCCATATCCATATCTCGATACAACGTTTTAGTAATTGTAAGCTATTCAAATTCACCACATACACAGACACATATTCGCAACTGCCACATATTTATTCGTGAAGGAAATTTATTTACCATTCTGAACTTTGTTATTGCTATTGTTTTTTTTTTTGTGCCATCGTGTAGTTGTCGGTTTCTTTGTTCATTTCGGAGTGAGAAAGCGAGCACGATTCGCTTTTTATTTCTTCTATTATTTTTTTTTCTTGTGCCACCCATTCCGTATATTCGTGTGCTAAGTGTTGATGGTAGTGCGCTCGGCATGCATTTTCCAACGAAAAACTATCGTGATCTCGTATTTGGTCGTTAAGATTTTGGTACGGTAATAAATTATATTCAAAAAGTCTATTTCGACTCTTTACCACGCGTAAACATGACATACATTATATTTAATGGCAACACGAAATGAAAATGAAAATGGAAATACTGAAAATGACGGTGATACACAGATGAAAAGCTTTTTCTGTATGTATATATGTTGTACATTTTGTGATTAATCAAAAGTAAACGGAGGGGTGGCAAATTATGGCAAAGATTCGTGCTCTTCATTTCTCTATCTCTCGCTTTTCACTTCTCGTTTCCAATAAATTATGAAGAAACACACATTTACGCTCATTTGCTCAATTTAACATACACTTAGCGTACCATATCGAACAAGGAATTGACAATTTAAATAATATTGTTTTCAAATGGTTAATTTTTCGTGATTATAAATATTAATATTTAATGAGTCATCGCTTATAATATCATCAAATGTGATGACGATAAAGTTTATTCAGTAAATGAAAATTAAACCGATGATGGAGATTATTCTTCATGACCGCGATTCCTTTTTGATATACAAATAAACGAAATGTATTCTTTTATTATTTGATCGAAATCGATTGATGACAATGACGATGATAATGATAAGGGAAGGGGTTCTTTTCACCATTCTATATGCTATGAAATTACCGAAAATATTGGATATTCAATTTCTTTATTAACTATTAAATGAAACGGTGTCACTTAACTTATTATTTAATCATGGAATGATACTTGTACGGTTGGGCACTTGTTAGTTGAAAGTTGTTTCAATCTATTTCTGTTTGAATTGACGACAAATTGAAAAAAGAGTGAAAGTGAAATAGAGCGAGATATATTCGATGGTTGTATGTGTGATGGCCAAAAATTGAAGTGATTGACACGCCGTCTCAACATGTCGATTTAAATTACTATCCAATTTCAATCGTGATGGAAAATTCGTTGGAATTCGTTGCGTTTCAACATTTTGACTGGTGTGTTTGTAATTCACTTGATGCAGTAAATGTTTACTCAGACATCGAACGATCGAATAGTCGACGTATAGTATTTCCTCGAATCAATATTATTTCGGTCGATTTTCAAATGCCATTCGTTGATTTTAATTTATTGTTTACACTTTGTCGTTTAGCTTTTTTTCTCTTTCTCTCTCTCTCTCTCTCTCTCTCTCTCTCTCTCTCTCTCAAGAGATAGATAGATAGAATGGGGAGAGTTTTGACAACGAAACCAAACATTCAAATATGCACATACGTGTACGAGTGTCACAACAAAAATCGATACGGCGTTCATTTGAAAGTGGTGCACCGTTGCCGCAACCCGAGATGCCGACCTGATAAATGATGTATATGCTTGATGATGATGATGATGTTAAATTCGAAATGTTTTGATTCAATTTCAGTACACCATTCATTCCACTTGAAGTGTTTGGCTATGGTAAATGCGTGCACATATTTGGTGCGTATATGTGAATTTAAAGTCTCATTTCACTGCCTAGTGTGCCATACCTCGTTATGACATTCTTGACATCGTTGAGCATTTTACTTTCATGCATATACCGAACCCAACTTCGATATAAATGTTCAATGCGAAAAACCATTTCATTTTTACTGTTTTAATTTTTTATCTATTCATTTTACTAAATATAAATAATTGAAATATTTCCAATAAGTGAGTCTTCTCAAAATCGAAACGCTTCAGAATTTCACTTCATGCTTCGCCCACTTGTTAAACTCTCATCCGATTTTCATGTGGTTCTACGACCATATACGGGGCATACACCCTATGTATTCGAAGAATTTCCATCATAAATGCTTTGGAATCAAATAAAAATCATTTCAATATCCCATATAAATACGTATCGAAATACAAATCGAATAAAATGGATGAAGAGTGATCAACCGATGTAGTGATATGAAGAAACAAAAAAAAACATATATGCATAATTTTATAGCTCATATAGATAAAATCGTTTAAATATACCATTATTCATTGAGATATTGACCCGTTTTTTTCTTGTTGTTGCTTGTTTGATATATATGTTGGGCCCATATATATTGATCGTGCGCATCCTTGAATTTAATGGTCTGTATCTTGAATTTCCAAAGCATTTGGCTCAATTCTTTTTTTTTTGCTTTCAACTCTTCTGCTTCTCTTTCATTCACTCAATCTCACTCAAGGTACTGGCCTCAAAAAACAATCGACGAAAATCAACTCGACTCGAAATCGAATATAGATTGAGAGAAGCAAAAGTAGAAAAAAAAAATAACGGAACATAATCCAAATCACGATAAAAACACAAACGATACACGAACAAAGAACGAAAATGGTTTTCGGACATCGTAAAATGGAACGAAAAAAAAGTATGGAAAAATATATGGTTCTTTTTCGGTTTTCAGATATCAGAATACAATTTATATATGCAAATATGATCGTTTATTGTCCTTTTATTTCAGACAAATATCTATACCCAGTGAAAAAAAGAGAAGAGCATCAATCGAAAACCCGATGATTCACTGAAGCAAACGTGAAAGAAATGGTCATCTGATCGGATGGGCACCGGATGAATGGGCGCACATACACACCTTTTCAAATATTTTCCGAATGTAGGTGTTTATGTGGTGCATGTGTTGCCAACTGAAAATCAGCCAACATGAATAATTCGACGTTGCCGATTTTTTGTACTTATTTTCTTACTCGAAATTCACATCTAATCATGAATAAGAAATTATTCCATTGAAATTCATGTTCACCGTTCTTCATGAACTCGATGTTTCTCTCGTTTTTTTTTTTGCTTATTTTTCTATGGTTTAGTTCCGAATTTATTTACTTTCAACTGTTTTTGTTGGTTTTCTTTGAAAGAGTTGAATTTTTTTTCTGGATAAAAAAACGATGGCACAGTGTGACACACTCAGTGTGCAAAGTGTCACTTGATATAGATATATATAAATAAAGAGAAAAGAAGGGGGTAGGTAGATGTGAAGAGTGGATGATATTTTTTTTGTTGAAAAATGTGTGATTTTTTTGTTATTGAGCTTGATTTTTGCGTGGAAAATGGCGCACACACAATAAAACGAATATTGTCCATTCATATATACCTTACAAGTCTGATTTGATTTTTCGTCGACTATTCACATACATTCTGTAGAAAAAATATTGTGTGTTTATGAGCGTGTGAGTATTTGCTTCTTCTAGTTTAATCATTGGTTGCCTTGAATGCGTGCTTAAATTTAAATTCAACACGCTTCATAAAATATGTACGTGCATTAGAGCCATTTGAGGATTCGTTTCATTGGTGCAGGCGCATATTTGACGTTCGATTGACGGGCAATCATTCAATGTACTGGCCTGTTTACGATGTGCTAACGCGTTAGCTTCGTCCGAAGGTATTTTCGTTTACACTACTTCACGCTTTCTCTCACCTCACCCCCCTTTCTCTCTTTGGTATCCGCTAGAAAAATAGTGGTCATTTGAAATAAAAGAAGAGAAGGGTAGAGAAAGAAAAAATTCCATTTGCTGCCATTTAAAAATGATTTCCTAGACTCATGCAAATATGCTAGCAATTGTGGGTTTATAAATTAAAATAAATTGCAGTATGTGCTGTCGATGTCATGTTTCAATGTGTAAAATGAGTGCGGCTGCAATATATTCAGAAATGAAACGAATGAAAGCTAGAATGAGTGGTAAACGAAAATGACCGAAAACTAAATGACA